CATGACACCTGGTTTCATTTGTCTTTTCCTCCATTTTTCCAATAAATCTGACATACCAGGCCTTTTTAGAATACATTCCAACTGATTGATGATGCTATTGAAGCAATAAAGTTTAAAGGGATAAAAAACTGTCTTATTCTGTTGTGTATTCTCGCTTTATTCTCGTGTATTCTTGTACATTCTCGCTTTCGCCCTGAGCGAAAGGGCTTATTTGTACATCTACGTGATTCAATCCTGTTTCCAACCCGTATAGTGCAATTATCTAAATGGTATAGCCTGGTGCACTCTGGACAAACAGCATATTTGGTAAAGTCATCGCGATCAAGCTTGACAAACTGACGAAGAAGAWAAAGGGAGCTTGGGAACATCATTGACATTTGAATCAAATATTCATTGCTGMACGTAACACCAAGTGAGTGAATAAACTGGAACATAAAACGAAGTAGCCATTCTAAACCATTGTCRCTTATTTTACACGTTGTTTGCCAGAACAGTAGAAAGTAGACAAACCAGCTCAGTAGTGATGTCAATGCACGACACATAGTAGGCTTTGATCTTGGCTMTGGAAGTGGTGTATCCTCCTCATTAATATCTCTTAAGAGATCTTCTTCTTTATCATGCCAAACTTGCTCATCTTCTGATTCACTAGGTAAACTCTCCTCTGATGACATCTAAAAGTTAAAGCAATTGAATACTAGTTACTTTCAGACACTAGTTTGTTATTCAGAGCACTAACTTTTCATTGATAACTAGGTCTACAAGTGTAGGTTTGATATTAATTAATTAATAAACTTCAGTGTTATCAGTTGTCATTATSAACATGTCAAATGCAAATATTATACAATTATAATAATAATAGTAATCTTTATTCTATGACAAAAGAATTTTATAAAGATATATGCAACTTTGCAAGAGTAAAGTATACATGAAAATAAAACCTACAATCATTCCAGTAAATGATAAGGTATGAATGCATGTGTAAACACACATGATGAACAAACAAATAACTTATATTGAAATTTAGCAATGTACCACTAGAAATATTTACAATTTCAAGCACACACTTSTAGCATATGACTTAMCTCATCCACGYTSTCTCCGCTATCACTGTGTTCATCGGATTCTGCTTGTAGTACTTGAGCGAATGGTACTAAAAGTAAAATTATAGAAATCAATCACAATGATTGATAGGAAAACAGGTGATATCATAGGATTTATTTAGCTTAAGTTATAGTATCAAATTGTGATCCTTGGATTTACCTTCATTTGAGCTATCTGCAGCCGTTTGAGAATCATCGTTATCTGATGAATCATCGATGTTTAAAACACTTTGATTCTTTACGCTTCGAGTTTGGCTTTGATCTAAAGATGTCTTTTTCAGTCCACTGCTCAGTTGTTGGATCAAAATATGTTCGACGATGCTTCCAGTAGGCTGATTTCGACAGCACTTCGTCACAATGACCGCAATATAGCTCACTTTGCCTTCGTTTTCTCCTCACTTTATACATGGTTGTTTAAAACCTCAAATTATTGTGAATTATTCTTGAAAAGCTGATTAAAAAGATTCGTAAACAAACGTAGAAGATTATTAGAGAAGTTTGTCAAAGTATAAGGTAAACAAAAGGTAACTAAGGCAATATGTTACACCGCAGGTAGTTATTACCGCAGGCGCGGCACACTATTTTGTCCAATCACAACTAATATTATTATATATCAAGTGTCAAAGTTCACTTTTCCTAGTATCTTATTGGTCGAGAGTGTACCACGTGAAAGTCACAAAATTTTACTGTTTCCCGGCAACTGTCCACCAGCGGTCAATAATATGTTGTGGACCGTCAATAAGTACAAAATCGCAGAAAAACACTCTTCAGTGTCGTGAAAATGCCACATTTACGGACGGTGAATTCCAAAATTGTTTTGAAACATTTAATTTCGTCTACAAATAGTTATAATATTCATTGTGTTATTAAATTGATTGATTTTAGTGACATTTGACTATTTGTATTGCCATTTTTCAGTCATTTTATCAAAATCTTTAATAAAAACACTT